CAATGTGCGGCTAGAACTTTGCACGCGCTACATTTTGGTGCCAAAATTTTGAAAATAGGACAATATTTAGTGGCACTTTTTCAGTTCCCTGTCCTTTGATCTTGAATTTGACCTTGAAGGTCAATGTTTAGGGGTGAATGGGTTCGATTTTCGTGATCCTCATGGTCCAATTGACCTTGTACGAGATTTTGGCTAAAATCGGTGCTCGTCGCTGGAAAAGTCGCTGGTGACGTAGCATTTTTAAAGTTCCCCGTCCTTTGACCTTGAATTTCACCTTGAAGTTTGACCTTGATGAAAATGGTTTTCGATGTGCGGCTAGAACTTTGCACGCGCTACATTTTGGTGCCAAAATTTTGAAAATCGGACAATATTTAGTGGCACTTTTTTAGTTCCCAGTCCTTTGACCTTGAATTTGACCTTGAAGTTTGACCTTGATGAAAACGGTTTTCGATGTGCGGCTAGAACTTTGCACGAGCTACATTTTGGTGCCAAAATTTTGAAAATCGGACAATATTTAGTGGCACTTTTTCAGTTCCCCGTCATTTGACCTTGAATTTGACCTTGAAGTTTGACCTTGATGAAAATGGTTTTCGATGTGCGGCTAGAACTTTGGACGAGCTACATTTTGGTGCCAAAATTTTGAAAATCGGACAATATTTAGTGGCACTTTTTCAGTTCCCCGTCATTTGACCTTGAATTTGACCTTGAAGTTTGACCTTGATGAAAATGGTTTTCGATGTGCGGCTAGAACTTTGCACGCGCTACATTTTGGTGCCAAAATTTTGAAAATACGACAATATTTAGTGGCACTTTTTCAGTTCCCCGTCCTTTGACCTTGAATTTGACCTTGAAGGTCAATGTTTAGGGGTGAATGGGTTCGATTTTCGTGATCCTCATGGTCCAATTGACCTTGTACGAGATTTTGGCTAAAATCGGTGCTCGTAGCTGGAAAAGTCGCTGGTGACGTAACATTTTTAAAGTTCCCCGTCCTTTGACCTTGAATTTGACCTTGAAGTTTGACCTTGATGAAAATGGTTTTCGATGTGCGGCTAGAACTTTGCACGCGCTATATTTTGGTGCCAAAATTTTGAAAATCGGACAATATTTAGTGGCACTTTTTAAGTTCCCCCTCCTTTGACCTTGAATTTAACCTTGAAGTTTGACCTTGATGAAAAAGGTTTTCGATGTGCGGCTAGAACTTTGCACGAGCTACATTTTGGTGCCAAAATTTTGAAAATCGGACAATATTTAGTGGCACTTTTTAAGTTCCCCGTCCTTTGACCTTGAATTTGACCTTGAAGTTTGACCTTGATGAAAATGGTTTTCGATGTGCGGCTAGAACTTTGCACGAGCTACATTTTGGTGCCAAAATTTTGAAAATCGTACAATATTTAGTGGCACTTTTTCAGTTCCCCGTCATTTGACCTTGAATTTGACCTTGAAGTTTGACCTTGATGAAAATGGTTTTCGATGTGCGGCTAGAACTTTGCACGCGCTACATTTTGGTGCCAAAATTTTGAAAATCGGACAATATTTAGTGGCACTTTTTCAGTTCGCCGTCCTTTGACCTTGAATTTGACCTTGAAGTTTGACCTTGATGAAAATGGTTTTCAATGTGCGGCTAGAACTTTGGACGAGCTACATTTTGGTGCCAAAATTTTGAAAATCGGACAATATTTAGTGGCACTTTTTAAGTTCCCCGTCCTTTGACCTTGAATTTGACCTTGAAGTTTGACCTTGATAAAAACGGTTTTCGATGTGCGGCTAGAACTTTGCACGAGCTACATTTTGGTGCCAAAATTTTGAAAATCGTACAATATTTAGTGGCACTTTTTCAGTTCCCCGTCATTTGACCTTGAATTTGACCTTGAAGTTTGACCTTGATGAAAATGGTTTTCGATGTGCGGCTAGTACTTTGCACGCGCTACATTTTGGTGCCAAAATTTTGAAAATCGGACAATATTTAGTGGCACTTTCTCAGTTCCCCGTCCTTTGACCTTGAATTTGACCTTGAAGTTTGACCTTGATGAAAATGGTTTTCAATGTGCGGCTAGAACTTTGGACGAGCTACATTTTGGTGCCAAAATTTTGAAAATCGGACAATATTTAGTGGCACTTTTTCAGTTCCCCGTCCTTTGACCTTGAATTTGACCTTGAAGTTTGACCTTGATGAAAACGGTTTTCGATGTGCGGCTAGAACTTTGCACGAGCTACATTTTTGTGCCAAAATTTTGAAAATCGGACAATATTTAGTGGCACTTTTTCAGTTCCCCGTCATTTGACCTTGAATTTGACCTTGAAGTTTGACCTTGATGAAAATGGTTTTCGATGTGCGGCTAGAACTTTGCACGCGCTACATTTTGGTGCCAAAATTTTTAAGATAGGACAATATTTAGTGGCACTTTTTTAGTTCCCCGTCCTTTGACCTTGAATTTGACCTTGAAGGTCAATGTTTAGGGGTGAATGGGTTCGATTTTCGTGATCCTCATGGTCCAATTGACCTTGTACGAGGTTTTGGCTAAAATCAGTGCTCGTCGCTGGAAAAGTCGCTGGTGACGTAGCATTTTTAAAGTTCCCCGTCCTTTGACCTTGAATTTCACCTTGAAGTTTGACCTTGATGAAAATGGTTTTCGATGTGCGGCTAGAACTTTGCACGCGCTACATTTTGGTGCCAAAATTTTGAAAATCGGACAATATTTAGTGGCACTTTTTAAGTTCCCCGTCCTTTGACCTTGAATTTGACCTTGAAGTTTGACCTTGATGAAAATGGTTTTTGATGTGCGGCTAGAACTTTGCACGCGCTACATTTTGGTGCCAAAATTTTGAAAATCGGACAATATTTAGTGGCACTTTTTAAGTTCCCCGTCCTTTGACCTTGAATTTGACCTTGAAGTTTGACCTTGATGAAAATGGTTTTCGATGTGCGGCTAGAACTTTGCACGAGCTACATTTTGGTGCCAAAATTTTGAAAATCGGACAATATTTAGTGGCACTTTTTCAGTTCCCCGTCATTTGACCTTGAATTTGACCTTGAAGTTTGACCTTGATGAAAATGGTTTTCGATGTGCGGCTAGAACTTTGTACGCGCTACATTTTGGTGCCAAAATTTTGAAAATAGGAAATATTTAGTGGCACTTTTTCAGTTCCCCGTCCTTTGACCTTCAATTTGACCTTGAAGGTCAATGTTTAGGGGTGAATGGGTTCGATTTTCGTGATCATCATGGTCCAATTGACCTTGTACGAGGTTTTGGCTAAAATCGGTGCTCGTCGCTGGAAAAGTCGCTGGTGACGTAGCATTTTTAAAGTTCCCCGTCCTTTGACCTTGAATTTGACCTTGAAGTTTGACCTTGATGAAAATGGTTTTCGATGTGCGGCTAGAACTTTGCACGCGCTACATTTTGGTGCCAAAATTTTGAAAATCGGACAATATTTAGTGGCACTTTTTAAGTTCCCCGTCTTTTGACCTTGAATTTGACCTTGAAGTTTGACCTTGATGAAAATGGTTTTCGATGTGCGGCTAGAACTTTGCACGAGCTACATTTTGGTGCCAAAATTGTGAAAATCGGACAATATTTAGTTGCACTTTTTAAGTTCCCCGTCCTTTGACCTTGAATTTGACCTTGAAGTTTGACCTTGATGAAAATAGTTTTCGATGTGCGGCTAGAACTTTGCACGAGCTACATTTTGGTGCCAAAATTTTGAAAATCGGACAATATTTAGTGGCACTTTTTCAGTTCCCCGTCATTTGACCTTGAATTTGACCTTGAAGTTTGACCTTGATGAAGATGGTTTTCGATGTGCGGCTAGAACTTTGCACGCGCTACATTTTGGTGCCAAAATTTTGAAAATCGGACAATATTTAGTGGCACTTTTTCAGTTCCCCGTCCTTTGACCTTGAATTTGACCTTGAAGTTTGACCTTGATGAAAACGGTTTTCGATGTGCGGCTAGAACTTTGCACGAGCTACATTTTGGTGCCAAAATTTTGAAAATCGGACAATATTTAGTGGCACTTTTTCAGTTCCCCGTCATTTGACCTTGAATTTGACCTTGAAGTTTGACCTTGATGAAAATGGTTTTCGATGTGCGGCTAGAACTTTGGACGAGCTACATTTTGGTGCCAAAATTTGGAAAATCGGACAATATTTAGTGGCATTTTTTCAGTTCCCCGTCATTTGACCTTGAATTTGACCTTGAAGGTCAAGGTTTAGGGGTGAATGGATTCGATTTTCGTGATCCTCAGGGTCCATTTGACCTTGGACGAGGTTTTGGCTAAAATCGGTGCTCGTCGCTGGAAAAGTCGCTGGCGACGTCGCCAACTTCACGGACATTAAAATGAGCGAAAATATGTAAAACTCTCGTGACACATCGCAATGTATCAAAACTGCATTCAAGGAAATAGTTCACTTTTTAACATGGGTTTTGAACTGGAATAGCAGTTCCGTAGCCTGGGCTGAGACGAGCATAAATCAGGAGCTTTTACAGCCCAACGATCACCCTAGGCAAAGATATTCTATTTCTCGTCCCGAAAAAGGTGTCTTGCGTTGAGGATGTGTGCCTTGCATATATTCGCATCCAGTATGAAAAGAGCATGGGTACCGAAAATTCTTCAGAAACTAGAGAAATTATCTACGAGAACTCTAGAGAAATTCTCGTACTGATCAATAAGGACATTCAGCAGCAGCAGATCGCCCAAATGCCGGTGGCCGCGATCATTTCTCTAGTTTCTGAAGAATTTTCGGGACCCATGCTCTTTTCATACTGGATCGCCTGTGCCTTACAGAAACTGAAAAGTTCTTCTTATTATCAAAATATAGAAAATAATCTTTTGTTATAAATAGGTTTTATTTTCTTTGCTGATCATTTTGAACATAAAAAATCATAAATCGATTGCAAAAAAAATAATTTCGTGAAAGTGAACTATTTCCTTTCATAGCTGCAAATTATTCTCCAAAGAATATACCAGAGTGACCAGATTTAACGCTCGTCGGGACCGCGTACCGTTCGGCAGCCGTGCGCTCTGTGCTGAGCTGGTCCTAGAAACTGGCCGCTCCTCGTACTTGAGATCGCGCAGCTCCTGCAGGTCACCGATCAGCCGCGCGAACGACCTGAGGTCGCAGAGGTTAGCGTCACACTCAGGTCACGCAACATAGGTCAGGTCAGGTATCAATGGCAACATAGTTACGAAATTCGAGTGCTTGTTTTACGCGAGTGAAATAAATATCCAAAAGTGTTCTGCAAACAAAAATGCTTCTTCATCTTACTCGAATGTTTTTATATGTGTGTAAGATATGCCGACAAAAGTCATAAACATTGACAAGGGCTAACTACCTATCATTCTTTTTTCTTCAAAAACTCACAAGGTCAAGATCTCGGCTTACTAATGTGAGACCCCGTTTGCCATTTCCTCATGTGAGCTCGGGCCTCCATGTGACCTAACACTTTCCACGTGACCTCATAGTCGCCGTGACCTCACACCCCTATGTGACCTCACAGCCCTCCTCCTGACCTCACATGGCCCTCCCCGATGACCTACGTTCTGTCCAGAGCCAGCACGGTGACGGACGGCGGCTGGGCGATAATGTTGGCCGTCCTCTTGTCCTCCTTGAGTAGGGCCTGCTCGCCGAAATACTCGCCGGCTTTGAGTGTGCGAATTTCGTCCTCCACGCCATCTGAGTGAGTGGGAGAGTTGGAGTTAGAGTTAGAGTCAGAGTCAGAGTCAGAGTTAGCGTCAGGGGCATAGGACGGAGTCAGACATCAAAGACAGAGTCAAAGTCAGGGGGCAGATCACTAAATCAATATTTGAACCATAATCGGAGCTATCGCGGCCGCATCTGACGGTCACTACACTGTGAACGGTTCACATGTGGCTAAAATTGTTGAACGTCAACACGTTCCTAGTATTTCAATCCTTCTTTCACACGATTAAACTGGTTACGTTCGGTATTTCCCAGCAGAGAAAAACCTATTTAACATCCCACGCCGAAACTGTTCTTCGCATCGTTCAACTTATTGAGGCGGTTAAGCTATAAACGCTCCAGAGGGAGCCGTTGACCTTAGAGCAATCCATTCACCAGATTTGTAACTTGTACAGAAAGTACCCGATAGCGAATCCAACTGTCAAGTACGACTTAGCAACGACAAAAAGTTCGAGGCTGAGTCGCCTCCCACTTTGGTCAGCGCAGGACGGCGACCTCGGGAAAGTTTTCGAAGTAGCCTGTGTGCGTGTCTCATTGGTGGGTAGCTTTAGCCTTTGGAACTTTTCGGCAAGGGGCTGGCCAGCGCCGCAGCAATAACCTGAGCGTGGATGCCGAGCTTAGACCCAAATACTTCTTAATGTAGGAAATAGGAGATTCCGAGATCTTATAAATAGCTTTTATGTATCTATTGTGTAATATTTTTATCTGAAAACTCGATGCATTCTTCTTTTCACCATCATTTCTATCCCAGCGATTGATTGCGTTGCCACTTAGGACGGTAGGTATTGATAATTCCATGTTGATGCATTTACCCACTCCTTAAAAGCAACTAGGCCGTATCAAACATCAGCCTGACACAACAAACAACATCATCACGAAACCAGACATCATTACATTTTGCCATATCATGTAAATCAGCCGTCCTTTTAGCCCCGATGTACCGCTATGACGACACCAAAACGACCAATTACACTTCAACAAAACACAGCACGGCACTACAATGAGGTCACATTGGGCCATTAGTTTCGGACGGGTTCGTTTTACGATGCACCCATCGGAGTCACCAGCGCACAACTGCACGAACATTAGCTTTGTGATGATATTTTGTAAGTAGGGCGTGACAGTTACAACGCGTTGCAGCGGCGGACGATACTGAGGCCTCTTGCACCAAAATCCTCTTGCACCAATGCTTGGATTATTTTGTATCGTATACCCTGTCCAAGTCTCAAATGTAACAATTTGCGTGCAAAATTTAGCAAGCACATGTAGGATTATGTATTGGGCTATTGCCAACAAATTTACCACCGTTAGATTAGCTTATTCTGAAACCGGTTTTTCGATTTTACCTAGCTAGGTAGTTTGGTGCAAGAGGCCTCTGATCTGCCCTTCATGGTGTGGTAAAACTATGGATAGAAGTGTGATGCATTGACTGGGGACGGGATGAGCCTGCTAAAAATAGACGATGGCATGCACAATATCAGCTTCCTGCCGCCGATTGTTTGGTTTTCATTGAGCGCTCCCGCAAAACAATGCGGTCTAAGAATAAACACATTGCTCAGAGACCAAACCATGTCGGCTAAATATAGCTTTCCGGTGTTGTTTTCTTGTCACAATAGGTTGGTCCCCGGTTTTTTGGTATAAGCCATCATTGTTCCGTGTTCGATCATGTTCCGATGAGAAAGAAAGAGACGGAAATTTCGGATAACAGCGCGTTTCGAGGTCAATATCAATCTTGCGCTTATAAGGTTTTCCTAGAACTTCTGTTATTTTCATTTCCGCTAGTCAGAGGATGCAGGGGAAATGAATCGGGTACAAACAGAACAATGAGCCCATCCTTCTTGGAAGCGAGTACTGATTGTAGAATATGCCACATTTCAAAGATATATGCCAGAAGCCCGGGTTGTTGTTATTATTTAGCCGGCATTATCGGAAGATAAAGAAAGGCAGTAACGGAAGCTGTATTCCCTAAACGGACAGTGTTCCCTGAGAGCTAAAAACTCCGTGTGCGCTTGGTAATCGTCGTTGTGCAATCCTAACGTTTTTCCTTGTTGATATATTTTTTATCTACTTTATGCAAGGAATTTCGGTTCATTAACTACGAAAGCTGCGGAAGGAGTGGCCACACATATTTCCCTGATGCCTCCTGTTTTTGTCAGTGGCCAGCACTGAATATTTTGAGCCGAGTTCCAACAACCACTTTTAACATTTATTTAAAGATGATTAAAGAATAATATCCGCATCATTTACCATTATCTCCTACAAATCACATCAGCAGGTAGCATTAAAATATTACCCCACATATAATTACCTCTTCCCTGCTACAGACGTGCTAATCCTAGGCCATTACATTCCCACCTTCCTACCCAAATCCCTACCCCGTTGCTACGTCCCTGCGTGCTGCATCTGACGGCCGACTTTGCCCCCCCCCCTCCCCTCCATCTGACAGTCTCAGGCCGGGGCCGCCTACAGACCTGTCGACCTGCGGCCACCGGAACGACTCATACCCCTCCCTACTTCCCCTGCCCCCCCCGCAAACCTCCCCAACGCCCGGCATTGTTGCTATAGCAACAATGCCGCTTATAAGCGGCATTGTAGCGCTTATAGCGCTTATAAGCGCTCCCCGCTGTCTCCTAGCTTCGCCCCTTCACTACGACGCGTGTTCCCAAGTCAAAACGACAAAAAAAGGATGGCTTGACCAGATGGCATAGTCCCCTGCATTAGCTCCATAGAGACAGATGCTAAAAATAGAGCGAAAACTACTAATTACTCGGAATCGGACCTACGTCAGGACTATAATCCCTGGCCAGTATATAATCTGACCGCTATCGTATATCATACACGATTAATGTTTCTAAGGCGACAGACATAAAAAAACATCAGCGTCTGTCTAGCTGTTGTTATAAATCTTATTAGTCGGATCCGATTATAATTCTATTAGTAGTTGTTCAATGCTCTTCCACCCCACGCCTTTTCGGCGCTCAGCCAGAGCTTCATCGACACTGACATCTCTTCAGAACACGAACATAGTACAGTTGCAATGTGCATGAATATGCAAATACAGTTGATATCATATACAGATAAAATGTATGTCGCATGACAATCAAAAAGCTAAGCAACAACGCGTTCTACATCAAGTAGTATTGTTCTACGCTCTCCTATTCCAGTTAACCCTATTAGTGGCAGGCTCCTGGCTACCCCATATTAGTGGCAGGGGGGGGGGGGGGCTGTTTACGACCCCCCTTGATATCTCGAGATCTAACCGGCCGATTTTCAAAATTCAAACGGCATTCGATTTGGCTCAACGAGATCTACATTTCTAAAAAAAATAAAATTAAAAAATGTCAATAGGGGGGTAGAGGGGGGTAAAAACGGGCAAATTGCAGATACATTTTAGACTGTTTATCACGGCCAGGTTTCTGAACCAATCTTAACGCAACTTTTGCCGATCGATAGAGAATGAACCAGGAATTCACATGGATCCTAAAAATATGCATTTTCAAAAATCATAGGCGGATACAGATCATTGAGATTGGGGGTACACAAAAAGTATAGTAAATAAGGTTTTTGTTGGTACTGTTTCTAAAAAGGGTGGCAATGGTCTTGTTATGTTACAATTTTCTTATGAGAGAACGACTAGAATTGTATTGGTCATGCATAGGCGGTGTCAGGGCACCTATGTTGGGAGGTAAAAAATAGCCCCCCTTTTTGGACGCCTGGATCCGCCTATTATAGCAAAAACGTGTCAAAAGAGGATGCACAATAACTTTGTATGTGTTATCACATGATACCTTTCATTCACTGTTCGTAAAACTGGTGCAGCATCGTGATCTTCGCCCAAATGACTCGCTTCACGAATAGGACCCCCCAATTCCCAGTGCTCTGGAGCCGCCCCTGGTAAAGTTATGAACTTGAAATTTTCAGGGAATGTGCCCAATTTAGTTTAAGGAAAAGTCAGAAAATTTCAGCATCGTAGCTTCAGCGGTTTCGGAGATATTCCCGAAAAACCTGAGGGGTGGATAAAAACAACCCCCCTGCCACTAATAGGGTTAACCCGCGAGTTGCTGGGGGGGGGGGCGTTAAACGCCCCCACTTTTTTTGCCGGGCCATAGCATAAAAACGGCGCGCCGCAGGCGCGCCAAATTTTGGGTACCTGTAGGGAATCGATTGAAGTTTATTGTGACAAAGTTTCAAAAAAATCGGTCGGAAAATTTTTGAGATATCGAGGTTTTAGTGACGTCATGATTTCTGAGTTTTCGACCAAAAACGGCATATGTTCAAAAATCATATAAAATCACAGAATAGACATACAGACATGCCGTAAACGCCATTAGACTGCCAATACCATGAACAATCAAATGGCTATCTTCGATTATTGATTTCCGTTCCGCATTTTCCAAAATCTTGAACTGAATCTTGGCAATTTCTCGTAACTCCTTCACGACCATGATACATGAATTTCTTAAATTCAAGTTTTTGAGCCAAACACGTACACATATGATAAAATGAATGTCACCATCGTGTTCTACGCCCCAAAATACCCATAAAACATGTGTCACAGGCTGCGAATATCAGTTTTGATTTTCGGGGATATGTGCCTACCTGGTTGACCTGACCTTGACCCTGACCTATGCTTGACTGACCCCTACATGGAGCTGACACTCTTGTAGGCCTTATATGATGGATTGTGCACCGTTTTGACAGAGATTATGACGAGAGGCGCCCATTGCGAAGTCCTGAAGTCAATGCTACTGAAAGCCCGATTTCAGGTGTTTGACCTGACCTTGACCCGACCTGTGACCTCAAAATTCAACTTTAAAGTACTCATCTGAAGCGTCTCGTCGCGTTCTTTCGTTTGCCGCCTCGTGCGTTTCGCTGCGCCTATTGGTTCTCGAGTTATCGGCTGGGGGCGTTTAACGCCCCCCCCAGCAAACGGTGGGTGGCGAAATACCCCAGCAACTGCCGGGTTAAAGCAGTCAATTTAGAAACCCCAGTCCTTTAGTGCTACCCAGTTCCTGAAACTCCTGAACTAGTAACTAGCGCCACTGCCCACTGCCCAGTGTCATGCTTGCCCCCATTTCACCAGTCGATATTACAATAGCTAACCCCTCACATATAGATCGCCGCGTCCCACTTTCACAGTGCAATGTGCACTGCACCCGCACTGGAGCTACCTAGCTGCTGCTGGCTAAATCGATGGCCGCATTTTCAGCGCATCGATTTGGGAAATTGCAGCCAGCACAGCAGTCAACAGACAGTGCAGTGTGAGCATACAGGTTGGATTATATTATAAATATTCTCTGGCCTGGTTCTACCGAATTACACTAGTTTTTGTCCCTGTAACTACTGATTGAAGTGCTTGAGGATGCAAGGGATATCCAGAGAAAAGTGCTGCAGTATTATAAGACCAGTGCAGAAGATGACACTTGAATTTGAATGACACTTGAACTTGAATTTGCAGAAGACAAATTCAAGGCCACACAAATAAAGTAAGGAAACAAAAATCTCTTTGAACTTATATTAACCAGTATAACGCCTTTTGGGGCGACTAACGGAGCGAGCGAGAGGGTGGGCCTTGCACGTGCGAAATTTCGAGGGGGTACCTCCAACTGACTTGTGCACTGCACCCTACTAACCGGTCTCTAGCGATGTGCCAAATTTGAGCACAATCGGCTCAGCCGTTATCGAGATCTGGAAGCGGCGTCCTGCACGTGCGCACGTGCAAAATGGGTCCCAACTGACTTTTGCACGGCACCCTACTAACCGGTCCCTAACCGCGTACCAAATTTGAGCGCAATCGGTCCAGCCGTTCTCGAGATCTGGAATCGACCCCTGCACGTGCGCACGTGCAGCAGCACCCCAACTCTGGCACATGGATATGCAGTGCCTATTGGGTGCCTACCTACATGCCAACTTTCAGCGCAATCGGCCAAGTAGTTACCGAGATATTGCAACAATTAGAAAAGTGACACCTCTTCGTTTTGCACGTGGCACGTGCATAAGGGGTCACCCATATGCATCGGGAATAGTCCAATACTTGGTAGAAGGAATGAAGCTACCCTACAAAAATTACCGCATGTAAATCGGTCAAGTGGTTGCTGAGATATAAGCCTCGCAAAAGCGTCCGCACGGCCGGCCGCTCATACTCAGAAATTTCCGTTATTCTACGACTCCGCTCGCTTCGCTCGCTCCGTAATTATTGTAAGCTGATTACGGAGCGAGCGAAGCGAGCGGAGTCTTACGTAGAATAACGGAAATTTCTGAGTATCCGCCGGCCGGCCGGCCGTGCGGACGCTTTTGCGAGGCTTATATCTCAGCAACCACTTGACCGATTTACACGCGGTAATTTTTGTAGGGTAGCTTCATTCCTTCTACCAAGTATTGGACTATTCCCGATGCATGTGGGTGACCCCTTATGCACGTGCCACGTGCAAAACGAAGAGGTGTCCGTTTTGTAATTGTTGCAATATCTCGGTAACTACTAGGCCGATTGTGCTGAAAGTTGGCATGTAGGTAGGCACCCACTAGGCACTGCATATCCATGTGCCAGAGTCGGGGTGCTGCTGCACGTGCGCACGTGCAGGGGTCGTTTCCAGATCTCGAGAATGGCTCGACCGATTGCGCTCAAATTTGGTACACAGTTAGGGACCGGTTAGAAGGGTGCCGTGCACAAGTCAGTTGGGACCCATTTTGCACGTGCGCACGTGCAGGGTGCCGCTTCCAGATCTCGAGAACGGCTGGGCCGATTGTGCCCAAATTTGGCACATCGCTAGGGACCGGTCAGTAGGGTGCCGTGCACAAGTCAGTTGGAGGTACCCCCTCGAAATTTCGCACGTGTAAGGCCCACCCTCTCGCTCGCTCCGTTGGTCGCCCCAAAAGGCGCTATACTGGTTACAAATATGAAATTAAAATGGGTAGCCAATCGAGTTAATAACAGCACATTGCTTCACTTACTATAAAAATTTCGTTGAACCTGCATTTACTTGCGAAATTGGAAAAATGAATGAACTTAAAATAAGAAAGATCAAAGGCAAAACATCCAATAACATTGCCAATATCCAAGCAATCACGATCAAATGCCGATAAACTTTTATCTTTATCTAATATTACATACCAAACCTATCCCAGGCCCGCTAAAAACCTGATGACCTCGAGCAGCCTTGACCGAGCACTGAACGTTTGGCCCTTGACCTTGACCCGGCAGACTGACCTGGCGACCTCTGTGTGACCTTGACTGATCCAGAGCTGATGATGTAGAATCCGTCACCACTGGTTCCCTGTCTGATGATGTAGGCACCAGGCGCATATGTTTCCTATTGAGAGGAGAACCGGTTAGATAGATAGAGGAGAACCGGTTACGGTTAGATACAGACAGCAGAGGAGAGACAATGCTAATAAACAGTAATTGGCGTCTTTGTGAGATACTATATTATATTTTTGATAGATAAAATGAATTTGAAAACATAATACACCTTACATAAGTGAGAAGATAGTGATTCATTGTACATTGTGAACATATAAATAAACAGACAAAATAAAAATCGTGGTAACTAAGCCAATAGTTTTAGTCAGCTACTGATTACCCTATAACTACATTAGACAAGGATTTTGAATTTTTGGTTTGCCACTCGCCACACCTTATCCTTCACTGGACATGAAACGATATTCTATCCCATCGAATTCCCGACCAAACTGTTTTCATGTCGATTGGTTACGGAACACAGGGCTGGGTTATCTCAAAATGGCTGATTCCCTTCTACATAACTGCCAATCCCTTGTAAAGCTCTATTGCGGACGTCGATAAAAATATGGTTCAAAGGAACCCAATATTACTGCGTCCGATCCAGCCATATGAGGCTTATCGGCTCACAATTTCAGCCGATACAAACACAGATGACATTTATCTAGGGCGTAAGTTCGTCATAACATGAACAGCGTTGGCCGTAAAACTGAATCAATGTCCAATCAATATTGCTAGATAAGTTTGTCCGTCACGTAGCTCAGTTGGCAGAGCATAAGACTTGATACGCTCAGTTCTAGCACCTCCGGCGCACGGCATACGAAACTTCTGACTGGAATGGTCTATGGCTCTTTGTGTTTGATGAAAGCAGTGGCGGTCAGTTGAAGTCAGTGAATGGAACCGGACCGTTTCTGTCTAGTTATGTGAGTGAGCCAACCTCCAAATTTATCTCGTCACCTAGGAAACTCTTGACCAGACGATATAATTCCAAGCCTTAGCAGCAAGCTGGGCTTATATAGTAACTTCCGGCTTTTAATATAACTTTCCCATCTCAAGCCACGTCTTAAGAAATAATTTAAATAAAAAAGCAACTGCTTAGTGCTTATGGCGGAGTCATCATATCGTCACACCCACTTGAGCCTCAAAAGAAATAATTTAACTACAATAATCAACGAATCAAATAAAAGCAAACCCATACCCATCACCATTCCTCTTCCACAGCCCTGGTCAGTACACCCAAGATGGCCTCTTCCATACCCTCACGTACACCCAATATGGCGGCCGCCACTGACCGTCTCAATAACGTCGGCCATTTTGACAAGCTTGTCTCTGCTGAGTTTGGCCAGCAGGGGCACCGAGCGAAGGAAGCTGAGGTTGTCCTCCAGGCGGCGGATGGCCGTCCGCATCATCACCGTCTGGAAGACGCGCCGCTCCAGCTCCCAGACGTGCACGTCCGTCACGGCTGCCGACGTCACGGCACGTCACGGCATGGCACGGCACGGCACGGCACGGCACGGCATGGCACGGCATGAGGTGAACGTTACGGCATATTGGGTTATGGGATAAGATAATTACGACAGGGCATGATATGGGACCGCACGTTAATGTTACACTAAAAGCGGGTAAAAGAGTGAAAGAGATGAGAATGAGAGGGCAGAGAAAGAGAGAAAGAGGAAGAGGAGGAGAAAGAGGAAAAGGAGGATGGAGATAGATAAATAGAGAGAGAGAGAGAGAGAGAGAGAGAGAGAGAGAGAGAGGGAGGGAGGAAGAAAGCAGGGAGAGAAAGAGAACGAGGGAGAGTATAGGAAGGAGGAGAGCTAAACTTGATGCAGCGCACACAGCAAAGAACGATCGGTCGTTACGTAAAATCACGATATAGTTAACTACGTTACTAACGGTGATAAAAAGACACAATCAACGACAAAAACAACTTGAACAACATAATAATACAACGGCTTAACATAAACAGCGTTACTCTCAAGCTGACTTATCTCCGATTCACACACTCAATTAATATCTACCCCGTTTGCCATTCTTTCAGTAATCTCTCTAACTCGGTTTCCCCTTCATCTCACACATCCATTCGATGCCACACTATCCATCATCAGTGATCGCTCTGCTCGATCGAATCTCACCTTTGACCGAAGCCGTGCGGGTGCAGTTGTAGAGAATGGCCAGCTCTCCGAACGCCTTCCCCGGGCCCATCTGACCCAGCACCTGACCTTCCTTGATGACCTCCATTTGACCTTCGGCGGCCACGAACAGGTGGCTCCCTGGCGGCACGTGGGTCACCAGAGGTCACTAGAGGTCACCGGAGGTCACTAGAGGTCATAAGCAGGGTACACAGTACACACAGGTCACATTGGTCACTAGGTCGCACAGCCTGACTCAGGTCACGATAGGTCACATTGGGTCACGTACAGACAGAATAACACAAAGATCGCTAGAGGTCAGAAATCACAAATACATCACGCAGAAGCTTGAGGTGTCACATAGATTATGAGATGTCACATACGAAACAAGAGCACATGACGCATAGCATATTTTCCACATGACATAACAGAACATGCCACGAAGAGAACCAGGTAAAAGTCCGCATGACAGTATACATGACGCCACAATGATTTCACGAAAGATATATCAAGACCTAACGCAAAAGCTTCGCCTCACATCTTGGTTCCGTCACTGTCTTTTTTCGGCTTCAATATCGAATGTCGTCATTCACAGAACAACTTTGCCCAGAGAAAAGGCCTACGCATGCGGTCACTGATGCCTACGCAAGAATGTGTCGGCGCGTTCCTTCCTGGAATGTATCCGGGATCGGCGCAGCAAAACGTTTCGCGTGTCGTCTCTCAGTTGATGTTTCCTAAAATGTAAAACTCGTCGATAGCTTACGCGGATTATGTATTATCGGTAAATGCTGCAAGAAAATGACAGATCATCAAGCACTGGTTTAAAATAGAGGTATAGAAAGAATAATGATTTATACGAACGGAAAGAATATTTTGTTCGTTATCGTCTAGTCGGCCAAAATAATCAATAAAATTAAGAAGTAAGAACTGTACCGATCTCACAATTTATCTAATGATTTGTGAGCACACATACTATTCAAATACATGACAGTGCACCGCTATAAAAAAATGAAGCATACTGGAATCCACAACGCCATTTGCTTTTCATTAGACATTCAGCCGGAATATATTATTGATTTCTTTGCCAGGCAAAGTCGGTAGTCAGAATTCCCTCCATTCGATCCTATTATGTTGCATTATAATGTGCTTCTCTTAAGCTCTCGCTTGAATGAAAACGTTATTTCAGTTGAAATAAGAGTGGCTGAGATAAGCACGTTGACAAAGTAAAAAAAGGTAAAAATAAAAAGTAATCTAACCACATCTTCTCACCGCTAGAATCAATAAAATAAGAAACGAAATTGCTTAGCAACTATTGGTACAAAGAAGCAAAGGTTCAATTGAGACCCTTGAATCAGCAAGCTGTCTTATTACAGATTCTTTCGTCTTTAGTTAGTAGATCCTGGTCATTTATTGTGAACAAACCGGATCTTTGTGTCAATACCCTCGTGCTCGTCCAATCAGCTCGTATCCTTCACACTGTCTAGCCATTTTAAAGACGCAAAGGTCAACTCAACATCTAGCAAGGTGGCAAGGGATGACGCACACTGTGCTCCGTCAATATAACTCCAGCATGACAACACTCTACTCTAAAAAATAATAAGAATAACAACCAGCGCTGTTCATGTTCTTGCCAAACCAGATATTAACCCGCGCACCACTGGGGTCTGTGTATAACACGCCCTACTGGGGGGGGGGGGGTCTATTCATAGCCCCCCCCTCTTAAAGGGACAGTATCACCATTTTGATGAAATTTGACATTGCATAGGCCCCACCTTTCTGGTCCGGGAACTGAAGACCGATCCTCGAAGCTCCACACCGTTATCCCGCTATCGCCGCTCAAAGTACGAAAGGTGTACTACACTTTGAATCGTGCTTCACTATCTTCACTGTTTAAATGTTTGCGCCGTTTTGAATTGACCGCCAGTAATACAACTTTTACCCTGGTCATTTCATCAAATTTTATAAAGCCAAAACGTTTTTCGCACTTATTCATCACCGTTAAATTCATTAAATAGTCGTAGGCAATTTCCGCTGTTTCCTTCGGATTCTAGCGGCTCAACAAAGGAATTCCTCCAGCTTGAATCACAATCTCCCTCCAATGTATGACGTTTATCACGTGATTGTCACGTGACATTTTCTCCCATTGTCAATTGTCACGTCCAATTGTCACTCCCTCCAATTGTCACGTGATATTTTTATAGGCAATACCTAAGGCTACCTCTCCCTAAGGACAACTCAATCAGAAGAACGACCGCGTAAGCGTAGCGTCAATAATGTATTATCTGCGCCAGTTCTGTAGTAATTTTGCATGCTTCCAAACTGGCGGCCATGCTTATATAGTGGTGGTTCGCTCATGAAAATGAATCATGAAAATGAAATGTGGTTGCAATATTTTTCACCGAGTTCGGTCCTCAAACTATGTTTTTCTGATTCAGAAAAAAAAAGAAATGCTAGTAAAAAAAAAAATCAGCTCCATACATTGATTTTTTTTTCGATGATACTGTCCCTTTAACTCCGAAACTACTGGGCCGATCGTCAAAATTCAAACGGCGTCTGATAGCCCCGGAAAAACTGTCGAGCGAAACCTAACTTCGTTGACCTCGAGGTCACCGATGACGTCACAGGTCAGGTCAAAGTAAAAATTATTAGCATTTTGACTTATTCACATTTTGGGCTCTGGCCGCCGTCTTACAAGTCAGATCAGGCTCATTTTTGGTTTCCACACTCGTGAACAGATGCTCTAGATACTTTGAGGGTACCAAACTTGTACTTTGATTTTCAGGTCAGGGTCAGGTCATCACAGGTCACGGAAATATTATATCATGCGTCGGTCACGTGACACATGTTTCATGGTCCATTTAGGCCATAGACTTCGAATTTGATGTCGTCTGTGTCATTCGAGGTCATTTTGAGTCGAATTTAGCTTAGGTCAGGTCACTTTCAGGTCAAAAAGGTCAAATTTTGAAGTTAAAATTTTTCAACAAAAAAGGTGCCTATTGGATGCAGTTTGAGCTCAGGAACACGATGGTACCATTTATATTGGTGTACGATGTCAAATACGTACTGAAAAATTGATTTGAAAAATTAATAATTGTGAATTTTTTTTGCAATAATGCGTATAACTTGGCCATTTTTGAAGCTATTTAGCTAAGACTTGCTAGAGTTAGTCATAATCATGCGTTCTGTCACATATATTCCGTTTTTTTTCGAAAAGTCAAAAACTTTTTGAAAAAAATATAAAAAAACAAATTTTGAATATTATTATATAAATTTTTCAAAATTTTCAAAATTTTGATAATCCGAGATAGCAGTTTGAAAGCGCGGTCAATTCTAAGTCCTCTCATGCAAAGAAATTGGATCTAGCTTAAAAACTAAGCTCTTGGGAGCGATTGCCGTGGTTCAATGTTTTGCGTCGAAATCGGACGAAAATGACGTCACTCTGACGTCATTTCCGGCCGACCTATGGTAGCTACGAAGTTCAAATTTTGACACAAGGTGTCAAATTGATGCAGCCGAAGGTACTGTAAGTTTGGCGTCGATCCGTCAAGCGGTTTGGAAGTTATTGCAGAAAAACGGGAGAGGGGCTATAAATAGCCCCCCCCCCAGTGGGGCGCGGGTTAAAACGCAATATCACAGCGGCAACTTCGATGATATGCGTTTGAAGCCTGATGGGAAGGCTTATATTTCAAAGAAAGTTTACGGACTTAAATCATATGACGAATACGTTATCAGTGACAAAAAATGACGTTAAAGTATGATGACGACGATGACGACGACGACGACGAGGCGATGATGATGACAACGATGATGACGATAATGATGCCAGTACTTACCGACTTCTCCCTCCCGGATGATGAATGTACCGTTGGCGTACTTCTTCGGGTACATCGAGTCCACAATCTCACGGAGCTGTGAAGAGTCCAGCTTCTTCAGGAAGTCATTGTCCATGATGGCCTCCTTAATCAGCTGTTTTGACCTGCAACGAAAGTGGGAATCAATCAGTCGAGAATGGTTCTGGCGTTCTTAGAGCGAAACATAAAGTAGTACATATACTACCTATTACCTAACCTATGATCCACGTTTCAACAAATATAAAGGCGTTGAAAAATAGAGCTTTGCGTTGCATGAGTACCTACGCTTGATAACCTCGAAGAGTCGTGACTTCTAGGTCGTAAAAAGAGAATAAATATGATGACCTATTAAAACAACGTTTTGCTCTAGCGAATAGCCTCACAACTAAAAACATTCAATTGTTCTGGATAAACTGAAGCAAGACTTGCCCCACCCGCTCGCCCTCCCCCAGTCAAGTAAGCGGCAAACACCCCCAGCCACTGCTCCTGCCCCGGGGCACGGGTCACCCGACAGCATCTCGCCGTAAATATTTGTCTCCCCAGGCGCCTCCTTTGTGAGGCTCCGTACACAAAGTGCACGAGGCTTGTACAGAGGTGCAGAACAGAGCCGTGGGACTCGCCTCTGTACTGCTTTACTACATCTGGGGGGATCCAGAGCGTCGTAAGCCTCGTCGTAGCTACGACGTGTCGCAAGTTGTGTAGTAAGTCGTTTTTGAAGGGATCAATCGATGAGTAGCGTTACTTAAGTAGTAAAGTCTATCGCAAATTGCCTGATTTGCGACACAACTTACGAATTTGAAATAGCAGTCGTAAGTTGTGTCGCAAGTTGACCTTGCCTTGAGGAAGAGGTCACAGGTCACAGGTCATTCGGGTCATGGTCACGAAATTTACATGGTAGGTGTAAAATTGTTTAAACTTATGATCCTGAAAATTTGGTTGCAATCCGTTGTCGTTAACGCGAGTTATAGAGCTTGAACTGACGGGTCGTCTATGAGGCCTCAATCCGTGCCAGCGAGAGTGTTGAAAATGGTGCATAATATGTTATATTCACATTTATTGGGGTATTCGGGGATATGAAGTAGCCGAACACCATTTCACCAACTACTGGCGAATCCAGAAAGGCTTGGACGTTGCAAGGGGCATCCCCCCAAATATTCTCCCAATTCCAAAAACGACGTGTCCCAGATGACCCCGATGACCTCCAATAAGCTCTGTGATGACCCCAAGTTGACCTTTTTGACCTGACGTGTCCCAGATGACCTCCGTGACATCCAATTGAGCTCTCTGATGACTCCAGGCTGACCTCTGTGACCTGACGTGTCCCAGATGACCCCCATGACCTCCAATAAGCTCTGTGATGACCCCAAGTTGACCTTTTTGACCTGACGTGTCCCAGATGACCTCCGTGACATCCAATTGAGCTCTCTGATGACTCCAAGCTGACCTCTGTGACCTGATGTGTCCCAAATGACCCCCATGACCTCCAATAGAGCTCTGTGATGACCCCAAGTTGACCTCTGTTACCTGACGTGTCCGAGATGACCTCCGTGACCTCCAATTGAGCTCTCTAATGACTCCAAGCTGACCTCTGTGACCTTGACGTGTCCCTTATGACCTCCAATTGAGCTCTCTGATGACCTTTAGTTGACCTCTGTGATCTGACGTGTCCCATATGACCTCTGTGACCTCTAAGTGACCTCTCTGATGGCACGAAGCTGACCTCTGTGACCTGATGTGTCCCAGATGGCCCCAATGACCTTCAATTGAGCTCTGTGATAACCCCAAGTTGACCTCTGTGACTTGATGTGTCCCAGATGACCTCCGTGACCTCCAATTGAGCTCTGTGATGACCCTAGGTTGACCTCTGTGACCTGGCGTGCCCCCCAGTTGCCCTCTGTGACCTGACGTGTCTCAGATTACCTCCGTGGTCTCCAATTGAGCTCTGTGATGACCCCAAGCTGACCTCTGTGACCTGACGTGTCCCAGATGACCTCTGTAATCTCCAATTGTGACCTTAATCTACAAATTTCTTACCTCTCTGTGACCTCAAACTCTCGGAACTCATTTCTTCTAAAGCATCGATTCTAGATGCCCTATAGCCACGAATCTCCTGTGATCGATCCCAAATTTTATGGCAAATCACGCGAGCGTTAGCAACCACAAGTCGCCCAGTTAATACAAAGCTTCAGAATCAGAGAACATGCTTGACCTTGCTGTCTCATAAGCTCGCAAACCATAAGGGCGAATGTTCCTTTATGCGCGATAGTTTTCGACCTTACTGACGTTTACTACGGGATCAGCTGATCGTGTAGCCTTTTAAATTCTCGAGTAAAGCGGGTATTTAAGCCTCGTCGCAGCTACGTTCTGTCGTATCCTCCGACAAACCCCTCTTTCCTCAACATCCCTCCTTTTCCGCTACGACACAACTTGTGACGGCATATGTGTCGTAACTTGCGACGTGTCGTAGATGGACTTGCGACGCCCTGGATCCCCCCGGCTGAAATTGGGACTTCTCTTACTAAATAGTTTTGACTTCACAAGGCATGTCAAATTTGAACGAGAGTGAACACAGTACGATCGGATAACTGTCAAAAGAGAAAATATTGATAACTTGTTACATAAGAATGCTGTACGCAAGAAACATGGAACAGACGACATAGGACAATATGTCAGAGTCGAGATATTAATGCATTATGTAAGCTGTAAGCTCAAGGAATTAGGAAAACAATAAGGGGTCCGGATATGAATCATATCCACTGTTCAACGAACGCGATACACTAGCGCATCTGAAAAATCGCTCTCTCAGTTTTCCTCCTGTTCAAGCCCGTCTAGGTCTGCCGCTGTCCGTTGAAGGAATAGATCGTCTATGTTTATCATTCCTGGCACCGGTATAGCCTCACGACAGGGGTCGAAGGCATGTTTATTTTTCGTCCAAATAATGTCAATCTACTGTGTAAGACGTTGTAAATAGCCTTGCACAAAAAGAGCGTAAGGTAGGCCAGGTAGGCCATGTAGGTAGGCCATAAGGTAGGCCATCCAAGATATCGATAATCCAAGCGAGACCGTAGATCGGGGATACCGCGTCGCCAATCAACTGATCGAGTTTCTCCGACTGCCCGACAGATGTCTCTGCCTGTCGCTGCCTGAGAGGTAGACTGACCCGCATGGCCCGTTCCGCCCGATTGCAGCTGATTGACGGTCGAGAGCGATCAATCACGGCACTCGCATTGTGGCCGAGTGAGTAGAATGCTCATCAGTTATTTGATAATTAACACGTCATAGTAAAGGTGAACGGATGTGAAATGACAGAGGGTGGCACACTTTGACCTACTTTTTTATTTAGGTTTATTTCTTTCCAGCAAAATATTTGTTCACGGGAACGTAAAACATCAGTGATTTGGCATGTGCCAGCCTTTCAAAACACCCAAAAGTGTCTACTTCCTCTTCTACCTGCATTCAACTCGTAAAATTCGAACTTGTCATGTATAAGCCATGATGTCCAAACTCAGATCAACAGGCCTGCCCTCCCACCACTCACCGTAACCACCCACCAGCCCCCTCCCCCCACAGCCGATCCCCACACACCCCAGCCCCTTCCCCTTTACCCACCTGAAGTCCTTCTCGAATTTGGGCGCGGTGACGGTCATGTTCCTTCCGTCCAGGTGACTGCTCTCCCCAGAGACGCCCTGTTTCTTGCTGTGCACCGTCAGGTGGTTTCCGTGTAGTTTTCCGGCCAGGTCACCGTTCGACATGGGAGGACTGGCCTGCGCCAGAACGCTCTGCAAAGGAAGGAAAAGAGTGGGTGAGAAATATGGTTGTAAATGAGTGAGATGTGAGGAATGAGTATAAATGACAGAAACATGCGCAAATCAGGGTAAATAAAAGCTAAATGAAGACACTTGACGAGAAGTACTGAATAGTTGTCAGTACCTAGTAGAAAGTAAAATATGAGCTAACGAAGACATATTTTTTTCAAGCAAATATAAATAAAATGCACGGTAGATAAAGGGCAATTCAGACACAGAAAGAATCGAGAAAGACGGTGAAACACAAAAACAAACTACAATTTAGCCCTGTTAGTTGTAGGCTCCCGGACAGGATCATTGGCATTCATACGACGCGACGGCAAGGACAAGTAGAGGTAGAACATAATCGGTGAAAATTTGCATTACAACAAATATGATGTCGAATAACCAGCCAACAGCAATACTAAGAGATAGACAAGTACTGCTGAAAATAACATGGCATGCCATTATTATGATTCCTGTAATACAATTAGAGCTATGCTGGTTTCTGGGATTCTTGGTATCATAATTCTGACGACATATATTGGCGTCACATGACATGATGCCATCGAATCAGGGTTCGGTTATCTAATTACGTGATAGGAACTCATCTTTAATTTCATTGCGCCGCATAATTCATGTGCATTATACAATTATACGAAACGAAAAATATCTCCTCTATCGCTGTTTTCCCAGGAGGTGCAAATGCGGAGAGGAAGGAAAAAACTGAATATTTAGAAGGATGTTAGTGTATA